AAAATATTTGGAGCACAGTAAAAGATGCATAAACATTTTATACTGGATTTATAAGGCATACTCTGATATTTTTTATGCATTTTTGCTCACTGGGGTGTAACTAAATTATGTTTCACAAATGATGACAAAATCACTTATGTGTTATATGTACACATGCATCATCAATATCCTCTCTTCGAATTCATTAAATGCAGACATATTGAAAAATATATATGCTTTTGAAGCAGGATGGAAATTCACCCTTTTGTGTTACATGCATAAGAATCATCTCAGAGGATTTTTTAAAATATACAGTTATTATATCGATAGCTTATATATGCTGGTACAAAAGAATATAGTTATAGTATATATGCATGTGTGTATCGATATCGGGTTTCGTCAAAACACTTGCACTTGATGAACCCGCGAACGTGACCTAGATTCTGTTTATCCGAAATGTAGATGATTATCCAGATGCGTTTTTTAATTCCTTTTTTTTTTTTTTAAATTTTCACTTTGCACAGCAAGCTATGTTTTTATTATTTCGTTTGTTTCACAGAGGTCTAGCGTGATATCTTTGCTACATTCTCTTTTAATTTGTTTACAATTTGAGTCATGTCTGTTAACACGCACAACATTATTAAACTTGTCGCAAGAATATCAAAAATAAATAAATAAAATAAATATATATTTAAAAAAATGCTTAAATATAAAATTGTAGGTCTAATAACAGCTTTAAAATAGCAGGCATTGTGGGGGTGGGGGTGGGGTGGGTGTGTTAAGGGCAGTAAAGAAAACAATTTGGCGTGAATTTCTGATAATTAATAATCTGATGGTATCATCCAGTTGGGCTTAAATCATACAAATAATGACAGCATCCCAGAGCATAAAAACTTTTCAGCAACATTCCAAATAGTTTAGAGCCTTTATGACGTCATAACTGACGTATTATTAGTAACGTCATATATAATGGACCTACATGTATTCACAATAAAAAAATGTTTTGCCAGATATTTGTTTTAGAAAATGTTTATTCTTGAGGGTTTTTTTTTCCACAATAAGCGTTTTAAACGAACAATAAATTGCTTTTTTCGCATATTTTGTGAAATTTATAATTTTTTATTGTTGTATGAATTAAATGTTAACGATTGATTCACAAATTAGTGATTATTTGATGCATCAAAATTTAAATATAAAATCAAATTTCATATTGGCCACACCCACGAACAACAACGATAATAAGCATAAAGATTTGTATCGGCAATATTTATATCTATGTTAAGTATAAAAGTTGTTCTTGACTGTGGCCACAACTAACTTTGGAAAAATCTGTCGAAAAATCGGCATTTTTTAACGCTTTTATCACACCATCGCATGTTCCAACCGTCGCACGTGCCTAATGGCGCATTATTTAACAAAATAAGTTACGTATGGAAAATAAGTATGTTATCCTCTAACATTTAATGTATAGGACTCTTGTTGAATCAAAACTTTATTTTTGTGAAAAACACAGGGCCAAATTTGATGGTTCGTGGCTTTAGCTCTTTTCATATCTCGTGACTGGTCATTTTCGAAACTACTTTGTTAAAAATCATTCTGATTATACATACAAATACTCTGAAGTTGATATTTAAAAGATTATGGAGTTCCTCTTTGACAATATATACTAGTATGTAGTCTTTGGAGACAGTGTCTTCCAACAATCTGTTGGAAATCTGTTGGGCACTAGTTGTGCTCCGTTATTAGCCGACTGGCTTCTTTGTTCCTATGAAGCAGAATTCATTCAAAAACTTCTGAGAAGAGGAAAAGTATTGCTGTGGCCTTCAAATCGACATTTTTATAATTTGATTGCTATTTAGATATTAGATTGTTTGATCAATTAACAATAGTTACTTCCATTCATATGTAGACTCAATATACCTTAGTGAACACAAAATAAAAGACACTACAGAGATTGCCACGTTTCGTATTTGGGTGTATTACTGACTATAGACAATAATATCCAACTAGTAACTAAACTGTATGACAAACGGGATGAATTTAGGTTTTCCATCGTCAACTTCCTTTATTTATGTAATATTAGTCCAACATAACCTGCATATGGTTTTTCTTTCTTCCAACTGATTCAATACTGTAACGTTTTTACTATTTACAAATGATTAATAACTGGGTTCGCTTAGGTTTCCTTCCTAAGAATCACGCTTGTAATATAAAATCAAAACAAGCTTCAATAATATTAATGACATTAAAAGAACAACTGACTGAAATTCAATATATATACTTTTTCCTTGGTCCTATCTGGATAGTGATTGTCAGACTAAACAGTAACGAACTATAACAAACGAATCACCTATAATCAAATCAATCAAACATGCCAACCTAACTACATATTTATTAACTGATCCCTGAAGCTGCAGACTGAGTGGTTTAACCAACAATTCTGTTGTTTCCCGACACAGCCTGCAACTACCTAAAAACACCCTATCACAAAGTCACAGAGACACAAGCTAAAGTCACCAAGACACCATAGCTAGTCACCAGGACACTATATTACTTTTGGTTACAGACACAAGCTAAAGTCACCGAGACACTATAGCTAGTCACAAAGACACTAGGGAACTAGGTCCCTGAGTTGAGTGGTCTAACTAACAATTCTGTTGTTTCCCGACACAGCCCAGGAATCCAACCCCAAGTAACTTAACTCCAAAAGTGAGTTACACCAAAAGTAAACGAAGCTAGGTTGATCCCTGTATTTATACTATTTTGCATCTGTTCAATTAGTTCTGATTGATTAATAATTCGAATCATTTGGTTGGCTGAAATATCAACTTTGATTGGCAACATACAAGCTAATTCGATTGGATGAATCAAAACCCATTTCAATTCACTATACTAATTCTCTTTCATTACAATACTTAAGAAAATGCCTAAGTACTGTAATTTTTTAAACTGAGACAATCTACTAAATCCTCCATTGGTATGTAAAAACAAGAAAGTATCTACCTCAAGGACCAATACAAATACTGTCTTATATTTTTATAAAATTGTCTCTTTTTTTATAAATAAAAATAATTCTTTATACTATAACCCTGGCTTATATAAACAGCATGGTCAATGTCTCGACGCACGTGATCAAAAGTCAGAAAGGCTTATAAAGGGCCCAATTTCCCTAAACCTCACATTTTCAGTTATATTTTAAGACAAATCTTTTGACTTTTGTATGCAAGACTTTACAATAAATGTTAATATTTTCATACGTTTATTTAACTATGAAACCATTTATAACATGAACATCATAGAAGAAAGCTAATCTGCATTATCTCGAATTTCAATCGGAAAGAAATTGATATATCTAATTGCATGACGTTATAAATTCAAGGATTGGTCTTGAACCTTACTAATCAATATGATTGAATATCCAATACATTTCCAGTTTTATTGAAGAAATATATATCACCAAAAAGAAAAAATGTAAAATACAAAATATGATATATCAAGAAATTCAAATTTATTTCAATTTCACAAAAAAGTATGTTTATACATAATGCATTCGGGTATTTGCATATATCGATAAGGTACATAAACCCTTTAATACATAATACATGTACATTTATGCTTAGATATTAAGGTCAAATCAAGTATCCATGGTATTCACTGTGGATAAAATTTACAAACAATAAGGGTGTTCTAGAAGCACAAAGGGACCATCCTGATCTGTCACACGTTAACAAAAATATGTTTGACATTTCATGTTTAGAGAGTCCACTCTTGCTATTGATAAGGTTCAATTTGTGTTTTGATACAAAAAGGGGTACGTTGATGATGTTTTTGTATATACAGATTGATTAGAAATACAGCATAGGTATGAATTACCCTAAAATTGGAATTTCGTAGACGCAAATTTAGCGATTTGTCCTTCAAAATCAGTACTTAATTTTAGCCTGAAGTATTTTAGCGATTTTATGATGCATAGAAAAGAAATAACGGAATACAATATAACAATACACTGTAATGCGGAATAGAAATATAATAATAACCTCTAATGCGGTATAAATTGTTAGACTAAGTGATATTTAAATTTAGCGATCTTAACACCCTATCTAGAAAAGCAAAAATTGAATCCTCGCTAAAATTTCTGATTATAAGGAATCGTAAACGGACAGAGCAAGATAGCCATTCAAATACCTTTGCAGAATTTTCAAATCATTATAGAATTCCAACGACAAAACTTTTGAAAGGTATTTGTACTTTTTTCACGAAACTCATCAGTTTGGTACGATTTGAAATAAAAAGCTATAAAGAAATAAAATTAACCAAACCTACTTCTAGCAAGTCTATCTTTTAAATAGTATGACGATGTATATATATTTTAATATTTAAAACAATCCTTTAATTTCTTTCTGAAAAATACTATAAATTGAAAAAAGAAATTATGTGATTCTGCAAGACTGGAAAATTAAAATAACCTCTTCAGTTAAACGGTCCTTTAAAATATATTTCACAATGGAATATTATAATCACACCCAAACCCAGAGTTGAACTCTTGACCTGTGGAATCTGCCTCCTAGCAGTACAGGAACAGCGCGTTAAACTGCTGAGTCATCTAGGCAAGTTGCTTTTGATGTCGATGGAATTCTCGCGGCGTCGCCCTACACTATATAGTCATTGAGAATGGAAATGAGATATAGCTATTTGCACATTAATTTTATTAAAAGATCGTTACCGATACACATTGAAATGAAATCAACTTTATTTTAAAGCATATTTAATTTCAATGACTCAACTGAAATACTAATAAAAATATTAATATACAAAGCAAAGATAAGGATAAGGACATTTCAGTCCCAAGCGAGGTTGACCTCTATTATATTAATAACATGTCATTGTTAATATTTATGTAAATGAAAAAAAAATCATTCCAATACAATAACTTTTAAAAATGACCCAGAAAAAAGGACATCGTTCACAGTTCTTTCATTTATCAATGTTTTAAGGGTTTCTTCAATTTTACTTAGAATTGATTAGTAGTTACTGTAATATTTGACTGAAATGATAATTTTAAAAACATTTAGAGACTGAATGAATAAGTCTTGCTTGTGTTTCCATACATTTAAAATATTGTACAGAGCACTTCCATTCTTCTTTGATTCCAAATATTATATTTAATTGTTTCACGGTCAGAAGGTGCATAACCCGAGCATTTCCGCCTAGGGCTGCATAAAATAAAAGATTCCCCAAGACATCATAAATCTTATACAACATACAAGGATATTCAGAAAGAATGAATTTACACATATCGTAGTTCCCACATAAACATGCAATATCCAGTATATCTTTTCTACAATAAGACACACGATTTGTTGGTACTCCATTTTCAATCAGTATCTTGAGAGTGTTTACATTTCCCCCAGCTGCAGCAAAATATGGAGCGTTCCATCCATCCTCTGTGATCAGATGCAAAATTTCTGGAAATTTTGCTACAATATATTGACACATCTCACTGTGACCGTTGGTACATGCTATATGGAGTATAGTTAATTCGCGTATAGCAGTAAGTCGAGCGGGAAATCCCTTTTCTATAAGAATTTTAAGAATTTTGACATTTCCTCCCATTGCAGAACAATGTGCAGCGTTATGGCTGCACATGTCAACTAAATAAAGCATGTCTGGATACTCCGATAATATATATTTACACATTTCAAGTCGGGCTTTGGAACAGGCAATAGTAAAAATATTCTCTTCTGCATTGGTTATCTCCTCAGCTTGAATTCCCTTTTTTATAAGCAGGCGTAATATTTTCACATTTCCTCCTAAAGCTGCACAATGACCTGCATTCCAGCCTTGATCTGTCTTTCTATGCAACAAGTCCGGATACTCTCCTAAAATATATTGACACATCTCAAACCTTGCACTAGAACATGCTAAGTGGAGTATTGAGTACTTGCTGGGTGTGACATGTGATGCTAATAATCCCATTTCTATAAGGATTTGTAGAATTTTTATATCTCCTCCCTGAGCTGCAAAATGTAAAGCACTCTTTCCATTTTTGTCAACCATGTTCAGCATATCGGGATACATTGATGAAATGTGCTGGCACATTTCATACTGAGCACAAGCACTTGCTATGTGAAGAATAGTCATTTTATCCCCATTGGTCTTGAATGCTTGACATTTTTGCTCTTCAAGTGCAAGTAAAATTTTGACATTGCCTCCAATCGCAGCTGTGTGTACAGCATTTTCTCCTTCATTAGTGATCAAATGCAGCATGTCCGGATATTTTGATATAATGTATTGACACATTTCAAAATGCCCTTTTGAGCATGCTATATGGAGAATACTCTCGTTTGCTTTGGTGGTTTGATCTGCTTGCAATCCCTTTTCTATAATAAGATCTAGAATACTGATATCTCCTCCAAGTGCAGCACAATGTGCTACATTCCATCCATATATATTAACAAAATGGAGCATATCTGGAAAGTTTGATAAAACGTATTGGAAAATTTCAAAATGGGCTTTCACACATGCTATGTGAAGGATATTCATCTTGTTATTTGTAAAATGATTTGGATTTAATCCATTTTGGAGAAGTAGTTGCAGGACATTAAGATGCCCTCCAATTGTGGAGTCATGTGCGGCTGTACTTCCATTTTTGGAAACCTGATGCATCATTCCTGGATGTTCAGATAAAATGTATTGAGCCATTTCAAATCGACCTCTTTCACAAGCTATATGAAGAATAGTGAAACCCTCATCAGTGGTTTGGTCGGTCTGTACCCCTTTTTGTGTGAGTAACTTAAGAATTTTAACATTTCCTCCACGTGCCGCATAATGTGCAGTACTCCAACCACCCTCAGTTTCTAAATGAATTATATCTGGGAACTTGGCTAAAATGTATTGACACATCTCTTCTTGTCTACTTAAACATGCAATGTGTAGTATACTGAGTTTACAATTGGTTGTTCGATTTTCTAACATTCCTCTTTCCAAGAGATATTTTAGACAGTTGACATTCCCGCCCATAGCAGCGTAATGTAATGCATTCCATCCGTTTTCATCTACTAAATGCATCAAGCCTGGGAACGTAGATATAATGTATTTACACATTTCGTATGAGGCAAATATGCATTCTGTAAGAAATAAATCCCTTTTAGGACTGGTATTTTCATTTGTTTTCATGTCAAAATCTAAAATTTGGCGTAGAAAATGAACAAGTACTCCCTTTGCGGCATTATGAGCAAACATCAAATCATCTGCATCGTCAAAATCTAACTATTTTGAAAGAATATATTTTGAAATTTCAGTCTTTGCTTCTAAGGATCTATCATTTAATTGTGAACTAGTAGATTGCTTTGCAAATAATTCTCTTTCTATGAGTAGCCGTAAAATTTCTACATTTTTCTCAAATACGGTAAGATGTGCAGCATTCCATCCCCTCTCATCGACATAAATAATCATGTCTGGAAATTCAGACAAAATATATTTGCATATCTCATACTGGACATTCACACATGAGATATGGAGTATTGTTGATTTAGTATGTGTGCGTTGCTTTGGCTGTAATCCTGCATTTACAAGTAGCTTTAGAATCTCTACATTCCCTCCCATTGCAGCACAATGCCCTGCATTCCATCCATCTTCATCAACTAAATGCAGTAATTCTGGAAAGTTTGATAAAATAAATTGACACATTTTGTAGTGGTTGTTTTCACATGCAATATGACGAATGATCAATTTAGCCGTGGTAGCTGCTTTCACGTGCACTTTGTATTGGATAAGTAACCTCAGAATATTGACATGCCCTCCATTTACTGCAAAATGTGCAGCATTCCAAACTTTCTCGTCAACCATTTCCACCATGTCTGGGAACTTCGTCAAAATGAACTGGCACATTGGTGATCTTCCGTACAAACATGCAAAATGAAGTATAGTCTTATTGTTTCTCGTAGTATGACTTGCTAGAATTCCATTTAACAAAAGCAACCGTAGAATCTTGATATTTCCTCCAAATGCAGCACAATGTGCAAAATTGCATCCATCTTCATCAACAAACAACAGCATTTTTGGATATTCTGCTGAAAGATATTGACACATTTCATATTTGGCATTAATACATGCTAAATAAATTAAATAGTTATCGGTGGTGCTGTTTTCTGAAATATTTTTTCTTAAAATTGATTGTACAATCTTTAGATTTCCTCCTTTTGCAGCATAATGCAATGCATTTAATCCATCCTTATTATATAAATGCAGCATATACGGAAACTTTGTTAAAATGTATTGAAACATTTTGTATTGACCTCTTTCACATGCAAAATGAAGAATATTCATTTTATCAATAGTTTCTTGATCGGATGGCAAACCTTTTTCCAGAAGAAGATTGAAAATTTTGACATTTCCTCCTATTGCAGCATAATGTAAAGCATTCAATCCATCCTTATCACAAAAACACAACAAATCTGGAAACTCGGTTATAATGTATTGACTCATTTCCTGTTTGGCCCCTGCACATGCCAAATGAAGAACAGTCATTTTAGAATTCGTTAAGTGATTCACTGATACTCCCTTTTCCATCAGAAGTTTTAGAATCTTAATACTTCCCCCATAAGCAGCACAATGTGCAGCATTCCATCCATCTTTATTAACTAGAGGCAATAAGTCTGGAAATTCTGAGAGAATGTAATGACACATCTCATACTTAGCATTGTTACATGCTATATGAAGTATACTTAATTCATTGTCTGTGATCGTATTTGCGGATATTCCCTTTTTTATAAGTAGTTGTAAAACTTTCACATTCCCTCCTTTCGCTGCCCAATGAGCTGAATTCCATCCATAACTGTCAACAAAAGGCAGCATTTCGGGATAGTTAAATAAGATAAAGTCACACATTTCCTGTCATGCACTGGCACATGCTAAATGCAGTATATTTTCTTCATCATTGTTTGTTTGTTTAATCTTTGCCCCACTTTCTATAAGCATACGTAGAATATTGACATTTCCTCCCTGTGCAGCAAAATGTGAAGCATTCAGTCCATCTTCAGTCACTCCATGCACCATTTCTAGGAACTCAGTTACAAGGTACTGACACATGTCATAATGAGCATGCATACATGCTATGTGGAGTAAATTCATTTTTGCATTGGTTGTTTGGTTCGCTTGCAACCCTCTTTGTAAAAGTGCCTTAAGAATTCCAGCATTTTCCCCCTCTGTTGCATAATGTGAAGGGTTTAAGCCATCGTTACTGACGAAATAAAGCATTCTTGGAAACTTGGATAAGATATATTGACACTTCTCATAATGGGCTTTCAAACATGCTATATGAAGTATGGTCATTCCATCTATTGTGCATTCAAAAGGTGGTATGGATTTTTCTAGAAGAATCTGTAAAACATTTACATAACCTCCTTCTGCAGCAAAATGTGTAGCATTTTTTCCATCGCCGTCAACTGCAATCCGAGTATCTGGATACGCTTTACATATATAGTCAACAATTTCAAAATTGCCATTTTTACAAGAAAAATGAAATATTTCTACGCTGTAATTGAAATCACATATTTCAAGTTTATTGTTTGATAACGTTTGCATTACTTTTAGCTGTCCATTGTCAATACGAAAAGTAACATCAAAACATCCAGATTTGTTTGTTCGGCTAAGAAATGCGGTCGTTTCGAAAATTTTGTCAATGAAAAATTGCAAATCTGCGCTAGTTGCACATGCTTCCTGTATAGATGTTACAAGTTGTTCTACACGGGACGTTTTTGATAATGCCACTGCAATAGAAAAATCCGTTTTTTGCATAAAAAAAAATAATAATTAGGATATAATTTACCATGATACTAGTAAGAGCTCAAGGTTTTTATCTTTGTTTAATTCTGATTTTTAGGAGGTGTTAATTTCTATTTATTTATTTATAGTTTTTTGTTTATATTTATCTGTTTCTTTTGTAAATTACAGCTATATTTATGATAATGAATTAAATAAAACATTTTAAGATTTAGATTATTACATACCAAGAAGTTTTGATTCTGATTCTTCATCGTTGCTATTTTGTCTGTTTGAATTACAGCAGAACATTTGACAGTCCTAGAATGTTAAAAAATAAAATAATGTCAAAATAAATCAAATTTTAAAGGGCAAAAATGTCAGAATCTTTTTCAACTAAGAAATTATTTTCTCAGTTTCTGTCTTCTTCGTGGTTTATCAATGAGATTTTTACAACAATATCTAGCTAAAACAAAGTTTGAAAAATAAACATTAACTGTATCATTAAAATGTTAATATGAAACCTTTCTTGAAATTTGTTTCACAAATAAGTTTTCAATTAAAGGAAATATTACATGATTCAAAGGAATAATTTTTTTTGTCGATTCCTAAATGTGTCCTAATTCGCGCTAAATCTCGTCGAATTTCCTCTGTTGTTTCTTCCACACCGTGAAGTGATGACAGAACATTATGTCCCATGCTGTCGCTCAACGGGCTTTTCGTGATATTTTCTATTTCTCGTCTAACCTTCATGAGTACATCTTTACCACAACTATTTGCTATGAATTCGATAGAGTCTTTAATTACTAGTTTTTCATTTTCATACGTGGCATTGTCCATATGAGCATTTCTTGAATGAGCAATTGTATTTCTCCTTTCTCTCAGGTTCGAGATATCTTGATTCTCCGCAGGTGTCAATGAAAACAAATTTTGCAAAATGCTGCATAGTAAAGTTGGGTCTAAATCATCTTCAGATACACCCTTTTCTGGTACATACTGACCTAAGCACGGTTTTTTTCTTGTTGCATGTTTTTGAACCTGCAGTGAAGAGCATATCCCACTGATGCTTTGTCAGTTTTGAGGTTCCTTGTGATTGTCCTCCAGTGCATTGGCAACAATTTTTCTTTTCATGAAGATGAAACAATTTGTGTTTGTTGGCCTCCAGGAAAAGATGAAAACTACGCAGGTGTGGTAAGGAAGCACTAAGATAATCTGACTTGACTAAATCAGTGATACAATATGACGTCATAGTAGGCGAGATGACGTCAAGTTTAGAACACAAGTTTTCCTTATGAGTTTGCTATTTAGAAATATAATTTGACTCCTGAAAATGAATAGAAATTTGCAAATATTAACAAAAATAAAATGTTTTTATTTTGTTATGCTGTATCTGTCACTTGAATTATAATCTCCGACCAATGACGTCATAACTGTTCAACAAGTTACTTGAGAATCGATCATGTTGTGTAACGAGAATTTGGCCAAAACGGCATGTAAAAAGATACGTAAAAGGAGGTTTAGAAGCAAATACCGTGAATATTGTGTGTTATCCATGTGAAGTTAAAGTATGTTAAACAGGTATGTTGATTTATTTTCATCGATTATATCCTCTATTGAAGACAGTCAGCTATTTACGTAACCCGGTTGGCCTTTCCTATGTCATTCGTGACAACAATAATGCAAAAGAACAACACTTAGCTGGATATTGAAAAACATAAGATTTGTACATATCGAAAGCTTGTGTTCTATAATACTTGGAAAGTGCTGCTAGAATCGTGAGGTAAACATGGTTTGTAGAAATATCTCGGGTTATATGCATAAAATGCAAAACATCGGGTAAGGTTTCGTACATATATGGGGAATAATTATTTTCCCATCGGACAGTGGGATTCTAGCAGCACTTTTTAGGCATAAGAGATGTTTTTCAACTATGTTATTTACTCAAAGAAATTATTTAACCCCGGGGTAGTGTTGTTCTGTGAAGTTTTTCATTAAGGAATATTTTGCTATTAATAGCGGTCACGTGATGACGTCGAGGTGGTGCACTACTTGGCCTCGGACACTCCGTGTCTTTATGTAATAGTTAATAATAGTTTATGTTTTATCGGAGACTTTGATGAATTATTCATCTTAATTTTCTTAAAAAAGTCTAAATTTCCCGAGAAATGATTTGTATGCTTCCTTAACATACCCGCGTACTGAATCCTGATTTTTGAACTTCTTCTTTTAATCGATATGAAAGTGCAAGGGTACCTGCATCCTGAACCAGAGCAGAACACTTATGGAATTTTACCGCTGTACAAGAGAAAGCCATCTGTAACACTTTATCTGTTCTGCAAAATTTAAATATTAGGTTTCATTTGCAAATTAAATTTAGTACAGTTTGAAGTTGAATGAATATCAGGGGGTTTTTTTTGTTTATTTCTGCCTCCTTACCTTCCTTTATGTGTCCATTTAGACTAAATATATTAAATGTTTCCTCTGTGATTACTTTAAAAGGAACTGTAACAGAATAATAAAAGTTCAGATTGTTTTAACTGTCTTAATTCACGTTTTTGAAAACAATTATCTCCAGTAAAACAGAAAAATACTTTTGATAGAAAAAATGCTAATGCTGAATATATTTTTCAAGAAATTTATATTTTTTAAGATATCATTGAGAGAGCTTGGGAATAAAAACAAACTCTCTCTCTCTCTCTCTCTCTCTCTCTCTCAATAAAAATATTAAAATGGATAAGTACTAGTATGCATACAAGCATGTTGATTATGTAAAGAAATGGGTTGGGTTACTTAAACTATTCAATGCTGCCTTTTAGAAATCTTAATTCTTATTCTTTAATCTAAATTCTGCATTTTAATTCGCCAACTCTGTATTTTAAAATTGTGTTATATAGTTATGCAAATAGATAAAATTTTCTCAGATTCCACAAATAATTTATTTGTTATGATTTTTTAATTGTCCATCCCAAAAGGGATTTTATTTAATACCATCATTCAAATCAATCATTCAAATTGTGTATATATGTATAAGGTTTGAGCATAGCATTAGAATTGCGTATATTTTCTTCACTAATTTTTACCATGTACAGATTCATTTGAAATGCGTTGTATGACGTATTTTACGTGTTTTGTTAATTGTGAAAAGAGATAGATCCTGAGAAATTCGATCAAGTCATATTAAAAGAGATTTACAGAGGCAAAGTCCTCTGAACCCCCCCCCCCCGAAAAAAAAAACCGCCAAACTCAAACGAATAAATAATTTATTTCGTACCTTGTAGTTTTTTTTTTTTTTTTGGTGGTTTGAAGATTGTTGCAGCTCCTTTGGTGTGTTGTTATAACATTTTGGGTACTATTTGGATTTGTGTACCTGGACTGTGTGATACGATCTTAATATGACTGGTTCGTTGGTTTTCGATAGCCTCAGTCTTGTCCGTCAAACGCATTCGTAATAATGGAAAAAAAAATTACAAAAACCTGATTTTTTTTTACATACATTTAATATTGCCTGCACATCCTCTCTTTTGTTGATTTGACGGGTTTGGAATCTTCTGGATTGCTCTCGCCGTGTGTTATTTCAATGGCGGCGTTTAGCAGGGGTAAAGAGCTGTAAGTATCTTGTTATTATTATTCAGCAGCAAGTAGTAGAGCAATTGAATATAACACATATTTATGATAATTAGACGAGAGAACGAGGGACTTTCGAACTTGTTTGATCGTAAGCACAGTTTAAGGTTGGTCGCGGGTTTACTGCATAAAAATTCTTACGGGAAAACATGTTCAGAAAAATTTGATATAATGTTCCTTAGAATTTGCGGCATATTATCTGAAATTTTTATTAAATTTGTAGCTTATCTTCTCTAGTATTATGAAATTCATATTCTGCCTACAAAGTCAGAATGAACGGTATATTGATATAAACATTCTTCGTGCATTAGAATTAATATGCATCAACACTGCGATAGATAAAATAATACAAGTAATGTTAGGATGTTTAAGTTCATTATTAAGAATTCAAGTATAACACGTGAATTTTATCACTTCATTCTAAATCGGTAAAGGAAAAAAAAAACCCACCATTGAAGGGGGGTGGGGTTATCGATAATGTTCTTTTTAAGTCAATCGCAATTCAGTATATAGTCCGAACTCTCAAACATTTGTTCTTTCTTGTTTTTTTTTTTTTTTTTTTTTTTTTTTTTTTTTTGCTCTTTATTAATTTTTCGTCGTTCAAAAATGTAAAATACTTGCATTCAGCTTAAACACAGATAGCTTAATTTTGTTATAGAAAAAATTGAACTTGAAGTCTTGATACTTGTATTTCGTAATACATGTAGTATATTAATATCTGTTTAGAGTGCCATAAAGGTCCGATATGCTGGGTGTTTGTATGGATTCATTTTAAGGGGATGAAGGACAAATGGTCACATGACTGTTTAACTACATCATAGTCTCCATTTATATAAGTGCAATATGTGTAAAGCATTAATTCTTGTATAATTTTTTGACAATTTTTCGACTTTAATTACCATCTTATATATAAAAAAAATTAAAAAAGTTTTTACGTTCTTGTAAACATTAACAAATTATGAAAAAGATTGATCCACTCCTCTGTTTCCCAAAACTGCGTGTCCAACAAGTCGGTGACGTCATACACGATCTGTTAGTACAGCAAGATCATACTCGGTGAACACAGGGGCGGTATTATTATGTAAAAACAGTTCATAATCAGTATATGATGAAATATTTTGAGAAATGGGGGACACAAAAATTATTTTTGCATGGCTGATGACGGAAATTATATGTAGGTATATCTTATTTCGCTTATGTAGCTTACGTGTGACGTCATAGTTGGTTTTTCCCGTAGTCGAGAAATGTAACATGACACATTTTTGTCATGTTTATGTTCTCTTTAACGATGCACAGTCCTGTGAAATAATGAGGTCAGCTTCATCATTTGAAATTTTTACAGTTAATCAATAATTTGAAGGATTTGCATTTCAACGTAAATTAAAAAATATTGAATGATAGAATTTTTTGTAAATTACGTTTTTATTGTTTAAGTTGTCTTAAAAAAGTGCGTAATTTTCCCTATCCATGCAGATGCAGTGTGATAGACAAAACTTGCTTTTTTGAATTTTAAATCCTAATTATACTCTGAAATAATTTAAAAGATACATGTCCACTTTGATAATTTTTACATATGCTTAAAAAATCCCATTATGGACAGAGTAATGAGCCCGGAAACATGGAGAATTAAAACTCCACTTAGATACAGTAGGGCATAGTAATTGTCAATCAATATCTCCAAAATAAGGTAAGAAACCTAATGATATAACTGCTTTAAGATATGTGGGACATACTTAATTAGAAATATACAAAATATGAAAAAAATTGAATGACAAGTGTTTTTTCAGCTCAAGGTCCTTCTCCTCCTTAACATGTTTAATGCATTTCACTGATAAATCAATTCCTTGCTAGCCTGTTTATAAATAGAGGACAACTTTATTAGATTCAAATACGAAATATTTTTTTAAAAAAGAGGAAAATGCATTTAATTAAATTTCATCTGTTTTTAATGTTTAGGATTGATGTTATCCTAAAAATAACAAATGTGGGGGTTTTTTGGCTGTGATGAGCAAACATGGTGCATTACACACCTTCCCTTCGTTGCACATTTATTTGCATACATACAGCCTTTCAATTTTTCGGCTTAGCAATTTACTGAAAAACCGTTACTTTCATTTTGCATGCCATATATCTTTAATTTAACACTGAATCAATTTGATTGACCTTTAGTAGTTTAGTATCATTTTCAATATAAAATGAATTCCATGCATTTTGCATCACATTTATTATGTTTTATAAGTTTGTTCTTATACATTACACATATAATCGGAGCAGAATTAACTTATAATCCTCTGGGTTCATACATACAGTGTGCCAAACTAATCTGGAGAATGAAATAGCCCATTTGACTATCTCATTTTAAATTGGGATAGACCGTAGACAAATAGGAATGTCCAAAGAAAGTAAATTTGGAAAAAATGTGCTCTTGTTATTGTTAATTTTTTTAAAATTTATTCATTTATATTCTTATTGAAGTATCTGCTATATATTTTCATGATTATCTAGTGAAAATTAAATATAATCATGCAGTGTTCGTGCATTTCACACCCCAAAAAACTGTACAATTATTCAGACTCGTCGTATATGAACTTCACTCTGCAGACCAGCTAATGTTTGTGAAAGACA